AATGGTTCCCTGGAATTATCAGAGAAATCGGAGTCGGCCAGCGAGAGAAGGATGATTGTGTGTGTGGGTATTATTGGTATGACCGTTGCCCCCTTCCCGAATGGTTCCCAGAAGTGACTTTTTTTTGATTTTCGTAGAACCATGGTTTCACCGGTTGAAACCATGGTTTCAGCTTGGACCACGGTTTGGGCTTCTGGACAGGGTGTTTGGATGGCATTTTATCCAAACCATGGTTTGGAGGTGCATCCAAACGCAGCCTAAGAAAATGACATAAAGCGTTCTTTAGAGAGTTAGGTTTTAAAAAAAAAAAAATTATTTAGAGAGGAAAAAATTTTATTTGTGTTTAAGTAAAAATCTTATTTTTTTATTCCATATATATGTGTTTAAAAAATTTTGTTATCCATTGATGCTAGTTGCCTACAAAGTTAAACGTTCGGGTAAATTATCTGTTATTTATTTTTTAAAATTTTTTATCATTAATATTCTCTTTAACAAACGGGTTGAAAATCTATAAATTTTTTACACATATCAATACCATTTTATTTAATTTGGATTCCTTCTAGTAATTTTCGGGTGAAGCGAAAAAAGAAATGGACGAGTAGATTATGTGGATTTTAGAAAAGTGAGTTTTCCCAATCACTTCAAGGTACAAGATAATCACAATTCATAACAAAATGTATAGTTATACCAATTCTGCATTAGAACTTGAGATAATACATAGAACTTCACTAATTTTAATAAATAAATAATGTAAACTAGAGAAGTAAAAAAAAATAATTAATTTAAAACTTTTGATTTCTCTTTTTTAATTTTTTAAATTAAATTTATTAACATTTTCTCTTACTTTCCATTTTTAAGGAGAGTAATTAAAAATTATAGCATAGAGACAAAATTCAATGCTTGCTTGGAGTTGCTTAATATGGTGCAAGTCAAGATAATAGTTTTCTCACGTGCTTATCTATAAACCTTTTGGTGCTCAACAGATTGAAGACTGAGTGCCCATCATCAAAATGATGCTCTTTTGAATTAGGAAAATAATTTGGGCTATTAAGCACGAAATGTTAAGAAAGAAAGGAGGGAAAAAAACATAAGATCATAATTAAATTTACTTACTTAAAACAGTGCATTTTGAGTACTTGAGCACTGGGCTTACATACAAAACCTGCTCTCAATTTCTCATATAGAATTCGACCACTCTCACATTATTGTTTGTTGCAATGGAAATCAACAACTTTATTATTTTAGTGGTAAATGAGGCATACACAGGGTAGGATTGTCTTTTGCATAAAAGCTTTACATCTGTAGAGCACCGCGGAGAATTATTGATTGACACATACCGATCACCAAACATAGTGATTCCCCCAGCCACCATCCTTCATGAGATTAATTATTAATATACAAATACAATTTAATTAATAAATTGATCATACTGGTATCTATCTACCACTAAATAATTATTTAAATAACACTACATTCAATCCTCAATATAAAAACTTATTTAACTTTTATTTTGGTCCTAAATATAAAATTTCAATTCACTTTGTCTCTCATATTTATTTTTTTCCCAAAAGTAGTCCTTGTAATAATGATAGTTTTAACAATACACTTGATTAATGAGAATATTTTAGAAAAAACAACACCTATTTATTACAAATAACTAACTTAACTAATTTTCTTAATCTATTCAAATTAATCAACTAGTTCTTATATAAAGGACGGGAGTATTACTTGTTAATTATCATTCAATTACTACATTCTCAAAAGAAAATACTAGCACTCTTCTTGTTCTTAATATAGGACCTAATTGTTGAGTTAATTTTGATCCTATATATAAGACCTATGTATCATATTTATCAATTTTTTCTAAATTACTCTCATGGAGTGAGGATATTAAGAAAGAAAATAATGATATTTTAGAAAAAAATATATCATAATTTTTATAATTAATTAACTTATCTAATTTTTTAATCTAATCAAATTAATTAAATAAATTATGTATTAAGAATTAGAAGAGGAGTATCCTGGTCATGAAATGTCCGACAACAGTTGTGGAGCCACGAGTTACCTGTCATTTACCAGAAAAAAGGTGCAAAGAGATAAGAGAAGAGAACTTATTGTGCTCCTACCTAGTTTTATTTATTTATTTATTCTTTTGACATCTTCTGAAATTTTAGTACTTTGATTGGAATCCTTGCTTCAAGCAAATTTGAGAGTAGTTTAAAATATATATGACCTTCTTTAGCTGAAGTACTTTAAATTTAATCAAATGTGAAACATTCCCCCCTCCTTCCCAAAAAGAAAAAGACAAGTAAAATTAAAATTGAAGTTAAAATGAAAACGTTTTTGTTAACTTCAAGTGAATAAAAATTTTGCATTTATATAGAGTTTCGATTAAACACGTTTTAGGCAAATTTTTGTGGTCGGTTATATTCCTTAAAGGGAATAATGGACAGTTGAAGAGACATATCTCAACCGTTAAATAAATACTAATACTAATAGACAAATGGGGATGGTATTTCTCCGTATTTTATCATAAGATCTAATTTTTTGAATAGATTTGTTTCTTTTTATAAGATCTTTTTTGAGTTTGTTTAAACATTTAATACATTATTATCTATTTTATCCATAATTTAATATATTTAATACATTTTCTTTCTTTATTTATCTCACTGTTACTCTCTCACATTTACCCATTTATATACAGATGTATATTGAAAAAAAATTGTATTTGCTACATATTAATTACTTTTAACTAATTTTAATTATTTTCTTAAACTGCACAATTTAATTAAAAAGATCTTATAATAAGGGATGAAGGGAGTATGTAGTAGTATTATATTTTTTAAATGATTTGTCCTCTCGACCTACCAGATCGGCATTGATTTAATTAGCTGCCTAATGAATTAATTAATGATGCCACCCTTTGGAATATCATCAATAATATAAATGAATACTAATTCCATGCTACACCATAAAATTATATTCCGGAAAAAACATAGAAATATAAAAAAATTCTAAGTAATAGTACTATTTAACTCATGAGGAAATTTCTCAGCATTATTTATGAACATTTTGTTTCCGACACGGCATATATCGGCATAAAAATGGGGCCCACGTTTCGTTATCAAGAATTAATGAAGTGGCAGCATTTTGCCGACATTTTAAAATTGCCTGCAACTAAATTTATGGCTAATAAATAAATAGTTGGCTTTGTGTTGAAGGACCAAAACACGTACGAAAAATCTACAACGGCTTAAACATCGCGAGCATTTCTAAATGATCATCAATCATGTTGGCTTTGGCCTTTTGGATTAGTGCTTTGAATTTCATAAGCAATTCCATCTCTCCTTTTAACTTAGTTTGTTACTCCTTCTTATACTGCATAGAAGATTATTTTAACTAATTCGTAAAATTTAAAAAACAATTCAGATTATTATTTGTAATTAATGTGCATAGAATTTGTCACACCTTTTTTTTTAAAAAAAAAAAACTGCCATTTAATTACTAGAATTCGACGTGCAGAGATAACAATATCATGGAAAACAAGTATATGGGAGATAGCACAAGAGAAAATTGGATATTGTATTTAGGATCACGTTAAAACTTGACGTTATATTTAGAATAAGAGGGAGTACCAGCTAGTTTTGTTGACCACAATATACTCCTTTCCTTTTTAAGTACTAGTCACAGTACACCCCTATCTAATAATATAATGAAATAAAAATGGTACTACCTACTATATCTTAAGTTAAATACCATTAATTAAATTTTGGAAATAATCTAAAAATGCTCAATACTAGTTTTCCGCATTAAATGAAATTAGATATTTAAAAAGGAGTGGGTAGTATATATTTCAATGAAAACAACATCGAACAATAAGTATCAGCTAAGCTACTTGTGACAATGGGTGCATTTAGCATGGCTAGAAATCCACTTCACAAATTTATCATATTACTTGACTTTGTACGTATGCACCTAGCATAGCTAGAAGTCCACTTCATAAATTTATGATAATATTTGACCTTATACGTACGCATTTAGCATAGCTAGAAATCCACTTCATAAATTTATGATATTATTTGACTTTATACGTATTAGATGGAAAATCTGGCTAATATAGTAGGAATATCCCATTTTATGTTCCCACAATTTATTCAACCTAGATTCTGGATTAATATTGAAACTTATTCTTCTAGTTCTATTTATAGAACAGGAAAAGAAGATGTTTTTTGGTCTTATTTATAGGTACTAAGAGAAATTTTAATTTTTATATGAATGTATAATTTCACCTTTTATTTATTATTGTATTGACTTTGTTTACTTGAGGTATAATATATATTAAATAGGGATAAAATTAGAAAATTATTGAATTTTAAATGAGAGTTAATAAAATTTAAGGTTTTTCTTAATTTATGTGAAACATAAAATGACTTATAAATAGGACTAAAAGAAGTACTAGTTACCATGCATTTCTGCTCCAATAATCAAACTCATTTGGGGTGACACGTTTCAACTTTTCATCTTGTTCCTCTCTTGGCAATTAGCAGAAGGGAAAACCATATTTGGGGTACCTATACTTTTTTTCAATTTTCAATTTGGTACCTATGGGTTTTTTGTTCTTAACTAAATCTTTATTTTTCCTCTATTAACATCATCAATCCTTATGTAGAGACTAAAAATATCAATAGAACAAAGTTATAAGAGCTAATGTTGCTAAAAAGATAAAATTAAATGTTTAATTAAAGGGAAAAAAACATATAGGTACGAAATTAAAAATTGAAAGAAATAGGTACCTTAAATATGGTTTTCCCTTAGCAGAACGATACATCAAAATAAAATTCATAACTTTCATCTCAAGTACGAAACGTTGAAACTCAAAACCAATCATTTATGAAGAAACAGTTAGGGAGATACGCTTTTGTATATTTTGGTATCATCATTCGCTGCACAATTATATATTCCCTTTGCTTTTTGACTTGGCTACTTGTCCTAAAACCACCAGTCCTCCCATCTCAAGTCTCTCTCTCTCTCTCTCTCTCTCTAACGAGTACGTTACCATTATGGAATACTTGAATGAAGATTATGAAGAGCCCGTGAGTCCTGCAGGACGATACTTCAACAGCTCGGTGATATGTTCGTATTGTTTTGGGTTTTTAGAATCAGAAGTTCCAATTGATGACTCTCCAACTATGTATTTGCTTCAACATGTGTTCCTCCCTATTAACCCTCGTTTCTCCTGTATCATGGTTCTCTCTCTCTTCCATTTTTCTAGTGTTTTATATATATGAGCTCTTAGTTTCGTACACCAGTAGTGACTATTTGTTATATGGCCACAGGTTAAAGACGAAGATGGGAATATGATATGGAAGCGTGTTGAGGTGAGGCCTGAAGAACATGTGAAGGTGCCAATATTTCCTGAGAGTGATTCAGGATTGTATGATCAGTATTTTAGTGACTATGTTTCAAGGATTCTCACAGAGAAGACGCCAAGCAACAAACCACTATGGGAATTTCATGTGATTAAGTATCCAACGAGCAAGGCTTGTGGAACTCTCATCATGAAAATTCATCATTCACTTGGAGATGGCTACTCTCTTGTGGGAGCTCTTCTTTCTTGTCTTCATAGAGCCGATGATCCTTCTATTCCATTATCTTTTCCTTCACGAAAACCATCTTCAGAACCTGTACAATCTCACAGAAAGAACTTCTTTCAGAGGCTGATCTCAGCTATTTCCTCCTCTTTCATCTCCATATCAGACTTTGGTTGGAGCTTGATAAAATCTGGAATGATTCCAGATGACATTACACCCATAAGGTCTGGATTTGAAGGAACTGAGTCTCAGCCTTTTGGCTTATCAGACATATCATTCCCTCTTGACAGTTTCAAAGAAATCAAGTCAAGGCTTGGAGTGGTAAGATTCATATATATCTACACACACAAATATATATTAACACCTTGTTGTTGGTTTCTTTAAGCTCACACACACACACACACGTGAGTATCAGATTAAGCTAATTGAATCATTGATGTTGTTTGCAGACAACAAATGATGTGATTGCTGGGATGATCTTCTGTGGGATAAGGCAGTACATGCAAGAGATGAAGAGCAAGGCAGGGAAAGCAAATTCCACAGCAGTGGTGATGTTCAATACCAGGGAGGCTGAAGGTTATAGTTCAGTGAAGGACATGCTGGATCCCAATTCCAAGGGTCGCTGGGGGAATCAAATTGCCTTGTTACAAATTCCAATTCCTAAGATGAACCAAGCCAGGATTTCCAACCCCCTTGAATTTGTTTGGAAAGCCCACAGATTGATTCAGAAGAAGAGGAAATCCTTCGGTGTTTTTCTCCTTGGATGGCTCCTAGATTTGGAGATGAAATTAAGAGGGCACGAGGTAGGCATGTGTTTATGTTGGCTAGTGGGCGGGTGGGAAAAAAAATCGATGTTTCTCGCCGCATCGCTTTGACGCTTTGGGTCTCTGTATATACTAATACTACCGTATCTTACTGTATATCAAATCATAATCTTTTAAGAGGTTCTAAATTAATTACACCTTCCTTGACCAATATATATAGATATTATTGAGATTATAAATATATAATTGATTATAAAGAATAATTTTTAATCTAAAATAAACAATATTGCAATATCTTTTTTTTTTAAAGATCTTTACAAATTAAACTCTCAAATGAAATAAATTTTTATTGCTCTTAAGGCTAATTTTGTTATATATTTTAATTTTAGCAGAAACCAAATTCTTAGCAGTCATGATATGTCAATTTGCATTGTAATCAAAAGTAAATTGCAATTTTCATGATATACTAGATGTGTTTTTATATAACTGAAAACACCTTTCAATTCTCCATTTCAATTTCTATACATAAACATACCTTATTGAGATTAGTCTTAACCAGCCTAAAAAATTGTGTATGGCCCTATAATCTAATAGTATGAAAACTTCTTTATAAGTGGGACAAGTCACGGATTCAATCCCAGTTATAATCTTAGAGATAGACTGAACCGTGAGTAAAAACAATCCAAAAGTTCATGTGTTGTAAATGGTGGTGGTTGCAGGCAGTAGCAAAACGAATATACAGCACACTTGAGAATTCAAGTATGGTAATCTCCAGCTTAAACGGGCCTTTGGAACAGATGGCTCTTGCAAATCATCGCGTTAAAGGATTCTACTTTACAATGACGGGTGGTCCTGAGTGTGTCGGTGTGTGTGTGTGTGTGTGTGTGTGTATTATCCATCATCACGTGCTTCTCTTACTCTTTAAGTTCGTTCCTTTTCTAAATGAGCTTTCTAATTATGAGGTTGGTAAACTGTGTGTGGTTGCAGAACGTGAACATTACAATTATGAGTTACATGGGAACACTGAGGTTTACGTTGAGAACGCTGAAGGGTTTCATAGACGAGCACAAGTTCAAGTGCTGCATGCAAAATGCCTTCCAACTCATTCATAAAGCAGCCATGAACACACCCACCACCAAAAACCACTCGTACTCATCATCACTCTTTCAGAAGGTTTAATTAAGACCCAGTGTTTCTTTGACTTTCCTTTTTGTTAGTTTGATGGAATAGCAAGAAAAATCGCCGTTCATTACTGTATCAGGAAAATTATGGCTCGCCACCAATCAATATCGCATTATTAATTGGGTGACTAGCTGAAAGCTGCTGCTATTATTATTATTATTATTATTATTATTATTATTATTATTATTATTATTATTATTATTTCATGATGTCTGTGTGTGTGCGTGTGTGATGTAAAAGTGGCTATTGTCATTATTGACTGGGCCGCACTGAAAGTGATGAATACCATAATTTCTCAATGAAAATGAGAGTTTTTGCCCTTTGAGGGGTGTGTGTGTGTGTGTGTTAGAGAAGTTGGAAGAGTTCAATCCGATTTGATCGATGTGGTTGATACTTGATTGAATGAATGGTAAGACCAAGTCATTACTTATTTTTCCACTCTGATATTTTATTTGGCCACATGTCACTCACCTTAATTAAGGATGAGCCACAATATATTCAATAATTCTCCGTAAATATTTTCTTTGAATCTTAAAAGTACTGTGTGGGAGAAGATGTACCGTGCAACTAGAATCTGAACGATTCAAAAACAAGAGAAAGTACTCTTGATGTTGATTTTTGATGGTTTGTACGTACGCATGAACGAGTGTACGACACTGTAACCTTTATTGATGAGGGGAGGTTAAATTAGTCAAGATGATTGGTGGTTTTTTTGGTTAAGCATATGTATTTTCTTATTAGAGACAATTCTGATCAAAGTACTGTCAGATACTAAATATAATAATCTCTTTCTGTAGAGATTTGAATTTTAATTCACTGCATTGTGAGAGTCTATAGCCAATTCCGTTAGACAACCCCGCTAGTAATGATTAGTATTAATCTCCTAGTTAGTTTGCTGGTGATTGTCGTGTATCATTTCATAGATGTGGGGAGGTTAAATTTTCACCTAAAGAGTGATATTAATTAACACATGTTTTCCTCTCAAGAATTTTAAAGAGTTTGAGGTTAATGGTTTCAACCATGAAAGTATTATTGTAATATCATTGATGGCCTGTAATAATCTTGCCAAGAATTCATATTTCATTTTGTTTTTTATAAGCTAACCAATATAAGTAAATTTTTGTCTTTTATTATATATTTTAGATTAATATAGTATATGAAACCTATAATCCCATAATCCTCTTGCTATTGATCAATCAGTTTGAGGAGCGAAACATGCCTATATCATTAGTCTTAAGAAATATGAAGAAAAATGGAGATGAAGTTGGAGTCAAAACACAGCATAAAGAGCTAGCGTCTCTCTCTCTCTCTATATATATATACACACACACGCGCGTGTGTGTGTATGATTGATTGGCGAATTTTATATGGACAATTGACAGGTGCTTCATGGGGGGCTGTCAGATAGTGATAGACCATGGAAATGAAATTAAGAGGCAATGTAACAAGACAACACAGATCGAATGGCAGGAGATATGTAATGCTATGCATATAATATTCATTCCATTTCAAACACAACAATCAAATAACTAAATTAGGCAACTCAAAAAGTTGATTAAAATTAGTTAAAGATAATACATATGTTAAAAAAAAACACAACTTATTTTTCTAAAACACATTTATTTACAAAGAGGATAAATGGAAGAGAAAATGAGTGAAAACAAAGAAATTGACAAAAGCATATAATTAATCACAGACAAAAATAAAAAAAACTAAATTATCAGACAAATTCAAATTAATGCTTATGGGAAGGAAAAAAAAACCTCTTCAAAATTTTGATGAGATATATTCAATTGGTCATAGGAAGAGAAAACAAAATATGGACCGCCTATTATCGTTATTATCCATGCGAGCTTTATGCATCCGTCTCTTCATTGGCTGTCCCTCCAAGTTGGGAAAAAAAAATCTGGCCTTATTTCTTCACCGCTACGGCAGCTTTATTTTCCAAGTTCTGTTTACATAGGGGTGTATACTTTGAAAAGTGCATCTCAGAAATACTTTTCTAAAAATCGAGATAAATCCTTCACATATTACCTCGTAGTTGTAAAATCACTTCTGAAATCATATTTGGTTTCCATCCAAACACCCCAATAGTCATTGTCGCTTCATGTAACTGCTAAACCCCCATGCACCCTTATCTCTTAATCTGTCTTTATCTCTATCTTTAATAGTGCCCCCAGATTAATTATTTATAATATCCACTACTCATTTGGTTTTATATATTGGATACAGAGAGAGAGAGAAATTTTGGACCTATTTATAAGGTAGAGAAAAAAGAAATTTTTTTTTCTATTTTCATATGAATATATAACGTAATTACCTGTCATTTATTATTGTGTTGACTCTGTTCTCATAAAATATATTGTATAATAAATAAGGATAAAGTTAAAAAGTTATTAAATTTTAAATAAGAATTAATAAATTTTAAGATTTTTATTGATTTGTGTAAAATACATTGAAATTAATTTTATTCTCATAAAATATAATAGTATTATATAGTACTTCATACACCTTTTTGCAGTCTCCATTTACACCAGCACCAGTGGCCAGCACGGGTATAGGGTCACTTTTATTTATATATAGCTCAAACTGATTGTTTTCCTCTTTTTCTTTATCCGTCTCCACTATAAATAAACCAATTAAGGGTGGAATTTGCGTGTAAAAAGCAAAGCCTTTCCTTTTGCCTGCTTCCTTCTTATCATAATAAATAGATTTTTTCTGTGTATCAAAAAATAATAAATAGATGTTTTCTTTAGGATGATGGAGTCTTTAATAGGTGATGTAACCCAGCATATAAATGGTTTAGAAAAATGAGAGTGCCGTTTGGTATTGAAACACCCTATTTGCTACCCGTAAACATAATGGCACATTCATTTTCTGGAAAATGATTTTTTTTATAAATTATATATAAACCTCAGCTAATATATTTTTAGTTTTTTTTTTTGTATAAACATATCAGCTTTGCCTAGTTAGGATGTATCAATCCATAAGATTAAACAACAACGAAATAGTGTTAATCTATCATGATTTGTATGATTAAATAGGGCAAACATGATAAAAGAAGAGCTGCTAATTTTGAAATTTTAACCTCCAAAAATGGGAGGAGTTATTACTGGATCTGTAAAAAAATTTATAAAAAAAATTGTGAAATAAAAACTACATAAAAAAGTTGTTAATATTGATGTTCCGATTCCCAGGCTAGTTTTCAATTGACGGGGACGGCTAAGGATAAAGGAACTTTTCTATTATTGACCTTCTCAATTCTCATATCAGTTTGGTGGCATGGAAGTAGGAGTGAGAAGTGGGATTGGGGCGGGAACTGAAAATTTGGGCCGTTTGATATGTAGGGACCCAATTCTGTGTGGAACGGGGTTCCATACCCAAGCCCAAGGAACTGGGTTCCAGTTTCATGGAACTGAAGAATGAGACTATTTTGCCCCTCACCCCCACCTTGAAAAGATCGAGCTCTCCCGCCATAACAGTCCGATGAGGACGGCGGCAAGGACAACGGGTGAGGACGAGGACGATAGACAACGGCGATGATGATGGTGGATGGCTATCTGTATTCTCCTTCATCCTTTGATCTGCGATTTCTTTCTTTATCGAATAGGAGAAAGGTCAGAACGATTCATTCCATTGATGCTGAAGGAGCTAAGGTCATTGATTTTCTTTCTTCCTTTCTTCTCTAACAATTTTCTTCTTTTTTCCCCATCGCTTTTCTATTCGTTACAGCCTTCTATGTCGTGCCTTTCTCCCTCTACATCCCGTCATGCTTCTTGATTTCACCGTCCTGCTTATGTTCACTCTTCCCGTCCTCTAGTCTTCACGGATCGGATCTGTCATCCTTCATCCTTCATGATGGACAGATCTTGGGTTCATGCCCCTCTAATAGACAATGGAGCTTTGTGAGTGAAGTTCGAAGAAAAAGACCGAAGAAGAAGGTCCGAAAGTGTGAGGTTTACATTGCATTTCTGCTGGAGATGTGCATTTTTTTCATTGGTTTTGTCCTGGTCTTCCCCATTTCCGGGGACAGTGGTGCCACATGATGGTGGAAGAACGAACTATCGGCAGTAGATGAGAGGGAAGGAATTGGCTTTTCATTTTTTCCCCCCCTCGTTTGAAGAGTAATTTAGTATTTTCATATTATAAATACATATTTTAATTAAAAATTATAGTTCACTCTACTTTCATCAACCTACCAACATGCAAAACTCACTCTCACTTTTATTTCCAATTCCAATTCCTTCGAAAAATAACTCCTCGCACCAAATGGGTGTTATTAAATGAAACTTCTATTAAGGGAATGTTTGAGTAGAATAAAAACTATGATTTTAAAAATGTTTTTATAATATACAAAGTAAATATATAAAGAAGTTTGTCTTAATTTGTAAAAAATATTTTTGGGGTTATCCATTAGCAACAAGTAAAAGTGTTTTACAGAATATTTTTTTATAAAACGAAACAAATTTTTTTATATATTTATTTTATATATCATAAAAATATTTATAAAATTAAAGTTTAGTTTTCACTCAAGCACTTTCTGAAATGACACTAAGCCCTTGGTAGATTACCCGTGCGTTGAGCTCTCTCTCTCTCTCTCTCTCTGTCTGTGTCTGTCTGTGCATGTGAGTCTGTGACCATATAGGATGTACCAGCGGGTCAGCCCTAAGATCCTGCCATCTAAATCCTCTACAATTCACTTGAGATGCACTCCCTGCATTTTCATGAAAACTGCGTCGTTGCGCTATGTATAATCTCGGCCATTGCTTTTATTAAATCGTAATCTTCAATTTCTCATCTTCTCCTTCGACATCTAAAACCCACTAGCTCCGTTCGCCGCCATCCTTCGCTGCTTGTCATCGATTCAGAACTTAGCCCTGTCCACTGTCGTGCCCTTCCCTTTGTGATCATTTTCATTTCTCCTAGCTGGAAGATTGGGTGGAGATTGTGAAAATATGATTTGGTTATCTTAAACTAAGGGGATGCTTCCCCATTGTCAAAAGTACTTTCTAAAAACACCTTTTCACAAATTAAAATAAATTTTTTTGTATATTTATTTCGTATACCGTAAAATGATTTTTAAAATTATAATTTAGTTTTCATCTAAAAATCTCTAAATTTCTTATCTTGCATAAATATTTGGAAAAAATTAATTTGGAGGTCCTTATAATTATACTCAATCTTGAATCAAGTGCCTAACTTTTTTTTTTAATTGAATCTAAATTTTCATTGTTAGATCTATTGCTCCCTAAGACCTAAAACTGTTAATTAAAACTAACACTATTAAAAATTTCGTTAAAAATCTCAATTATCTTCTTCTTCAACCTCCTTTCACCGTAAGTCTGTAACCCCAAGCTTTCTCTCTCCTTTTTTCATTCCTCAATATCGTCTCCTTCCCCCCATTAAACGGCTTACCTGGCCGGCCAACTGCATATCCA